TGTTTTGTTGTTGTCCTACGCAGGGCTTGAGCTCAGGACTCTGAGATAAAGACCTGGGCTGAGGGATGCCTGGGTGGCTCAGTGGTTTGAGCATCTGCCTTTGGCTCAGGTCGTGATTTCAGGAATCTGGGATTGAGTCTTGCATTGGGCTTCCCTGTGAGGAGCCTGCTTCTCCCTCTGCCTATGTCCCTACCTCTCTCTCTCTGTGTCTCTTATGAATAAATAAATAAAATCTTAAAAAAAAAAAAAGACCTGGGCTGAGATCAAGAGTTGGACCCTTAACAGACTGAGCCACCCAGGTCCCCCTCTCAGCAGTGTTTTGTAATTTGGGGTACATTGGTCTTTCCCATGCTGTATCAGATTTATCTCTAAGTATTCAGTATTTTAATGGTATTATAAATGATTGTATTTTCTATTTAGTTTATTTTAAAACTTTTTTTTAAAGATTTTATTTGAGAGAGAGCACAGCATGGGGAGTGGCAAGAGGGAGCGAGAGAAGTAGGCTCCCTGCTCAGCAATGTGGGGCTCAATCCCAGGGCCTTGAGATTATGACCTGAGCTGAAGGCAGACACTTAACCAGCTGAGCCACCCACGTGCCCCTAAGATTTTTTTTTAAGTAATCTCTACACCCAATATGGGGCCCAAACTCATGACCCGTAGAGCTCTTTTGACTGAGCCAGCCAGATGCTCCAATTTTCTGTTTCATTTCTTACTGTTGCTAATATATACAGATAAGTAGATTTTTTTCCCCTTTTTCTCTTGTGGTAAATTATACATAACATAAAATTTACCATTTTAAAGTATACACTTCAGTGATATTAAATCCATTAATGTTGTGCGTCTGTCCTTACCATCCACCTACAGAACTTTTTTCATCTTCCCAAATTGAAACTCCGTACTCATTAAATAGTAACTCTTTATTCTTTGATCCTGCAACTCTTGGCAACCACCATTCTACTTTCTGTCTTGTTTGACTACGGTATATGCCTCATATATGTGGAATGATACAGTATTTGTCCTTTTGTTGGGGTGCCTGTGTGGCTCACTCGGCTAAGCATCTGCCTTTGGCTCAGGTCATGATATTGGGGTCCTGGGATGGAGTTCCTCCAGGGGCTCCCTGCTCAGCGAGGAGTCTGCTTCTTCCTTTCCCTCTCCTCCCTGATCATGTGCTCTCTCTTAAATAAATAAAATCTTTAAAAAAATATTCTTTTGTGACTGACATTCATTTTAGCAAAATATTTTCAAGATTTATCCTTGTTGCATATTCTACATGTTGGAATTTCTTTTTAAAGCCTAGATAACATTATGTTGTGTATATATACCACATTTTGTTTATATATTCATCCATCAATATATACTTGGATTGTTTTCACCTTTGGCTATTTTGAATAATGCTGCTATGAACGTGGTTATACAAATGGCTGTTCAACTCCCTGCTTTCAGTTCATTTGGGTATTTATCTAGAAATGGAATTAGTTGGTCATATAGTAATTTTATGCTTGATTTTTTGAGGAGCTGCAATATATTCTCTGAGTGGCTGCACCATTTTACATTTCCACTAGCAATGCATAAGAGTTTCAATTTCTCCACATCTTTACTGACACTTATTATTTTCTATTTTGTTGTGTTTTCAATAATAGCCATACTAGTGGGTATAAAGAGGTATCTCATTCTGTTGTTGATTTGCATTTTCCTTTTTTTTTAATTTTTATTTTTTATTTATGATAGTCACACAGTGAGAGAGAGAGAGGCAGAGACATAGGCAGAGGGAGAAGCAGGTTCCATGCACCGGGAGCCTGACGTGGGATTCGATCCCGGGTCTCCAGGATCGTGCCCTGGGCCAAAGGCAAGCACCAAACCGCTGCGCCACCCAGGGATCCCCGATTTGCATTTTCCTAATGGTCAGCGATGTTGAGCATCTTTCCTGTGCTTATTGGTCATTTGTATATGTTTTTTAGAAAAATGTCTATTCAAGTCCTTGTTTTTGAATTGGATTTTGTTGAGTTGTTGGAGTTCTTTATTATGGATACTGACTCCTTATCATATAATATTTGAAAATATTTATTCATATTGTGGGCTGTCATTTTACTCTGTTGATAGTGTCCTTTGATGCACAAACATTTTAAATTTTAATAAAGTTCAACATGCTTATTTTTTTTTCTCGTTTGTGCTTTTTTGTGTCCTATCCAAGAAATGATTGCCAAATCCAGTGTCATGAAGCTTTTATCTGATGTTTTCTTCTCAGAATTTTATTTTATTTTTTTTAAGATTTTATTTATTCATAGAGATGCAGAGAGAGAGAGAGAGAGAGGCAGAGACACAGGCAGAGGGAGAAGCAGGCTCCATGCAGAGAGCCTGATGTGGGACTCGATCCCGGGACTCCAGGATCATGCCCTGGGCTGCAGGCGGCGCTAAACCGCTGCGCCACCGGGGCTGCCCCTTCTCAGAATTTTAAAATATTATTTCTTATATTTAAATCTTTGATCCATTTTAAGTTAATTTTTTGGTGTATGGTATTAGATAAGAGTCCAACTTCATTCTTTTGCATGTAGATATCCAATTTTCCCAACATTATTTGTTGAACAAAGCCTATTCTTTTCCCATTGGATCGTCTGGGTACCCTTGATGAAAATAAGTCCATCATACATCCACAGGATTACTTTTGGGCTCTCCATTCTACTCCATTAGTATATACATCTGTCTTTATACCAGTATCACACTGTTTTGATTACTGTAATTTTGTAGTAAGCTTTGAAATCAGGAAGTATAAGAGCTTTAACTTTGTTCCTTTTCAAGGTTGTTTTGGCTATATGAGGTCCCTCGAGATTCCATATGAATTTTAGGACAGATTTTTCTGTTTCTGCAAAAAAAAAAAAGTCATTGGGATTTTGATAGGGATCACATTGAATCTGTAGATCATTTTGAGTAGTATCTACCTCTTAGCAATATTAAGTCTTGCAGTCTGTGAAATAGAGAGTATCTTTCCATTCATTTTTGTCTTCTTTACTTTCCTTCAGCAACCTTTTGTAATTTTCAGTGTATAAGTCTTCTGACTTCTTGGTTTATTTCTATGTTGTTCTTTTTGATCCTATTGTAAATGGAATTATGCGTGTGTGTTTTTTTAAGATTTATTTATGTATTCTGAGAGAGAGAGCATACAGAGAAGGGGCGGCGGTGAGGGGCCCTGGGAGAAAGAGATCTGAAGCAGACTTCCCACTGAACGTGGAGCCCTACATGGGGCTCAAACCCACAACCCTGAGGTCATGACCTGATCTGAAATCATGAGTTGTATGCTTAACTGACTGAGCCACCCAGGTGCCCCTGGAATTGTTTTCTTAATTTCCAATTTGTATTGTACATTGTTAGTTTATAGAAATGCAATTGATTTTTCCGTGTTGATTTTGTATTCTGCTACTTTGCTGAATTCATTTATTCTAACAAGTTTCTTTTTGTGGACACTTAAGGTTTTCTACACATAAGATCATCTGCAAATATAATTTTACTTCTTTCCAAAATGGTTGCCTTTTATTTCTCTTTCTTGGCTGATGTCTCTGACTAGGACTTCTGGTACTATGTGGAATACAAGTAACAAATGCAGGCATCCTGCCGTGTTTCTGATCTTAGAGGAAAAGCTTTCAGTCTTTCACTATTGAGTATGAGACTCACTATGGACTTTTCATAAGTGGCTTTTATTCCTAGTTTCTTGAGTGTTTTTATCATGAAAGGTATTGAATTTTGCCAAATGTTTTTTCTGTATCAGTTGAGATGATCATATGTTTTTGTCTCCATTCTGTTACTGTGGTGTATTACATTGTTTTTTTTTTTCATATGTTGAGTCATTCTTACATTCCAGGAATAAATCTTACTTGGTCTTGGTATACAGTCCTTTTAATATGCTGCTGAATTTGGTTTGCAAGTATTTTGTTGGAAATTATCTGCATTAGTGTTTGTTTATAAGGGACATTGGTTTGTGGTTCTCTTTTCTTGTGTTGTTCAGGGTAGTGTTGGCCTCATGGAAAGACTTAGGCAAAATATAGTTGATTCTTGTATATTGCTCTAAAACTTGCAACCCTACAAAACTGAATTATTAGTTCTAGTTTTAGGGCTAATGTATAGATAGAGGTGGAACCATGTCACATGGCTGTACAGCAAATACCTGACTTCCAGATTGGGGCTGAGGAAATGATCAGTGGTTACTGGGAAATATTGTGGTATCAGAAGCTGAATCTCCTTTCCCCCTTGAGGTTATCTAAGTCTCAGTAAACTTGATGTGCAGGTGAACATGTGCTTAGACAAAGCATTCTCTTCTGATAATGCAGATTAGATGGGGATGGGCTTTCTCACTGAGCTTAATTTTTTAAAAGTATATTAATAACAATAGTGATGGTGCTCTTGATAATGAACTATCGAGGGACATTGAAGGATTGAAGCTAGGGAATAAAGGAAAACCAGACCAGTGATATTTCATTGAGGACAAGGAAGATAGTGTCTAAAACCTTTGTATAAATCTTGGGGTATATATTATTGCTTAATAACAAATCCTGATTTAGGGAGTACTCTGAGTTTGCTGTCTCCCATCTTGCATGAATGTCTAAGTGGATCAAACTATCTGAAATCCTGAATTATCATTGATCACTTAAGAATCTGAATTTTAAATCCTAGTTGTTTTTAACATCCTTAATATTGGTCCTTTCCTGATTATTATTTTCATCTAAACCTGTACATGAAATTATGTCTGTTTTATGGAGTTCCTTATTACAAAATAAGTAAATGCATGTGATTGATTATAAGCCATATTTTCCCTATTTTACTTGTTATATTTTTGTGTTTATGACTTATTAATGTCCTTGGAGCTTGCACCCATTTAAAAACAGCTCTTGAAGTTCTTGAATGAAGCATCTCAATAGAAACTGTGAAGATGGCTTTGTGTACAATATTATTAGGATACCATGTCCTAGATGTACATATCATAATTATGTTGTTTGAAAAATTTCTTACAGGCAAAATGTCATCATTATAAGAAAAAACGAATGGAGCAACAAGATATTATTACTTCTTTGCAAAAGGATATCTATAGATTAACAAAGGAGGACGAAGAGCGCGTTGTCACTCAAAACAGAGTATTTGCTTATCTCTGCAAAAGAGTTCCTCATACCATCTTGGATAGACAGTAATGTTTTCTACATAAATTGATATGTAGCTAGATTCATTGTCATTTTTTAAAACATTTTATCTTGGGAGTGGATATATCTCTTATAAACTGGAGGAGTCTTCCTCCCCCTTTTCTCTGCCCCCCCCCCCACTCCACCTAAAACGTGATTAAGTTATTGAAGAAACTGGTCATTTAGCCTCAAGAAGTTCTTGCTAGATTTTTTTTTCCTTATCGTATCATTTATTCTTCTGTTTCCTGTATTTCTCTAAATTAGAAGTTGGGGCTAAATTCAGATATAAATATTTTGGGCAAAATACTCCATAAGTGGTAATGTGTGCTTCTAATGTAATGTGTGATTGTAACATATCAGGAGGCACTTGGTGTCTAGCTGACTTACTTTTAAGGATGTTAATAAGATTGTTCAGAGGGTTAAATAGTAATCTGATCCTTCCTCTATGAAGTGGCCCATCATCTCTTCATCTAATGGTTTCATGCAATTGGTGATTTTGCAAAATGGTGATTTTTCAATTCTGTTCCTTTAAAAATTTTTTTCTGGAATTCTTCCATTAAAAAGAAAATTTGCTATTGACTAGGGGCTATTTGGTTGTTCTATGTGGTTTGTTACAGGGAAGATAGAATTAATACTCAGTTCTTTCATTTTAATCCCACTTTTTAGAGTAAGGAGTTGATGCCCTTATGATTTCTAGTGATAAGCAACATGATTTTTTGTTTGCGGCTGTCTTTTTTCAATTTTAATGATCATATTATTCTGTCTTTGGCCAGTAGGAACTTTTTCATACTGGTATTATAAGCCCTTTTGACTCAACTTCATTAATCTTTGTTAGATTTCTTACTTTTAGGGAACAGGCACATTCTATACATTTTTTTTTTTTTTTTTTTTTTGCCTCAGAACTCTTTTGGGGAATGAATCCAGATATTTGTTAAAGCTAACACTAAACAACCAGAATTAACTAAATTAAATTTAAGATTAATTACACATTTCTTTTAGCCAGGGATGGTTTTTAGAGGCCACAGTATGGGTGTTGGGGTTGCTTGTCATGCTTATAATGTTTATTGTGTTGTTATTGATTTTAGGACTTTTTAGTGAAGAGTACAAAGAGTTATGTATATTTTTGGGAAAAAATCATTAATTTTTTTTCCAACTGAAGTTAACATTCCAGGATTTTTATTTAAACTCTGATTCTAGGGCAGCCTGGGTGGTTCAGTGGTTTAGCGCCGCCTTCAGCCCAAGGTGTGATCCTGGAGACCCAGGATCGGGTCCCATGTCAGGATCCCTGCATGGGCCCTGCTTCTCCTGCTGTCTGTGCCTGTGCCTCTCTCTCTTTGTGTCTCTCATGAATAAATAAATAAAATCTTTAAAAAAAAAAAAACAAAAAAAACCCTCTGATTCTACATTTGTAACTTTCCTTTTATACTAAAACTCCTTGTTCCTAAGAACAATATAATTATTTATTATATATCATATAAAAATAGCTTCAAAATAATACTAGAATTACTGCTAACAATAAATCTATGAAATTTAAATTTCTTTACAATTATCTTTTTTTTTTAAAGATTTTATTTATTTATTCATGAGAGACACACAGAGAGAGGCAAAGACATAGGTGGGGGAGAAGCAGGCTCCCTGCAGGGAGCCTGATGCAGGACTTGATTCCCGGATCATGGATCTGAGCTGAAGGCAGGTGCTCAACCACTGAGCCTCTCAGGCGTCCCTGCAATTACCTTTGACATCAGTAGTACATCAGTGTTCAAAAATATCTTGAAATATTTATTTGTATGTTTGTATCACCAAATTAATGTACAGTTAGGTTTGTTTCAATTTTTTTTCAATGGTTAGGGATTACTTTGTTTTCCGTTTACATTTGAATATGTAAGACATCGATGTGATTCCATTGTAAAAGCTAATCATTTATATTCAGAAGAGTTGTGTTTTCATTTCTGTCCCCTTGACCCTATTCCTTTCTGCTATAGTTAATGCTAAATGTCTAGTGTTATTTATTTATTTTTTAATTTATTTATTCATTAGAGACCCCGGGGTGGGGGTGGGGGAATGGAGACAGAGAGAGAGAGAGAGGCAGAGACACAGGCAGAGGGAGAAGCAGGCTCCATGCAGGGAGCCCGACGTGGGACTCGACCCCGGGACTCCAGGATCACACCCTGGGCAGAAGGCAGGCACTAAACCGCTGAGCCACCTGGGCTGCCTTATTTCCCTGTTTTGTATAAAAGATACACCATGTTTTTTTCACTTAATAGAATAAACTACATCTTAACTAGTCTTAACTATTTACATAGTAGGATTGGGAGTCTTTACTAACTAGGTATTTCTATTTTTCTATAAAAATAAATGAGGTCTTATGCAACTTAAAAACAAGTTAAGACTATAGATCTTGATAATTATTTAAGAAACAATACACACATATATAATTCTCATCCTTTTGAAGGAAGAACAAGGACAAAAATTTAAAAATTGAAATTAAGGGCAACCCGGGTGGCTCAGCAGTTTAGTGCTGCCTTCAGCCCAGGGCCTGATCCTGGAGACCTGGGATCAAGTCCTAGTCAGGCTCCCTGCATGGAGCCTGCTTCTCCCTCTGCCTGTATCTCTGCCTCACTCTCTCTCTTATCTCTCATGAATGAATGAATGAATGAATGAATAAATAAATAAACCTTTAAAAAATAAAAATTGAAATTAAAATATAAAAATAGAGATAGATGTGAATAAATTTAAAAAAAGAAGCAGAGAAAGAAAAAAATAAGTGTAAGGAAGAACTAAAAGAAGAGAGACAATTACAGTGGGAAAAGTAGGGGAGTAAGAAAGATGGAGGAAAGGGAATGAAAAACAAGTACAAAACCCAGCCAATTTGAGTGAGTCAGCGAGAGAAAGAGAAGCATTGAGAGAACTTACCATGTACCATATAAAGTCAAGGTAATTCAGGTGTGAATTTGTCTGATGACCTAAAGATTCTATACTTTATTTGATTTTTTAATAAAGCTAATTTTCAGTTTGAGGCACAGAACTTAAAATTGTAAATTAACCTTATTAGAAATACATGAGTTGTAACCACTACAGTTATTGTTAAAAGTGACAAAGGCAATGGGAAAAACAATATAGAACATATACAAATGAGTGAAATCATGTTTCCTGCCATTTATGGATCTGATAGTCTAGCTGGGTAGATAGACACATACTGAAGTAAGTAAAATATAAGACCGATAGCGATATGCGCTATAATGATGGAGCCCATAGGATAATAAGTGGGCATGACAGAAGGAGAGATTCATTTCCTTTGAGGAAGATGGGGATGACCAGAAAGGCATTATGAAGGTCATAACTTACAAACTACATTATTAGGCACTATCGAATTGTAATAGGCAGAGGTGAGGGAAAGGTATTTTAGTTAGAGAACTATGATGGCAGGAAAACTGAATATATTTGAAAATAGCAAGTAGTCCAAGTAGTCAAAGAGATTTGGAGCATAGAGTGCACAGATGATGGTGATGAGTATTTTAGGAGACGCTACGGAAAGGTGTGCTGAAGCTTTGAAGGACTTAAACTGCAGGCTGAAGTGTTTAGGTTCTGCTTACTGTATAGCAGGAAAAAAAAAAACCAGGATTTCTGATTAAAGAAATTAAACCCAGAGACAGACAAGTTAATAATCACTTGTAATAATCAAGGTTGGAGATTGCAAAGGCCTGGATTAGGGCCAAAAGAAAGGAGAGCTATTGGAAAGATGGACAGGAATTGTCCAGACTAACTGGCTGTAGATACTGAAAGAAGGACAGGAGTCAAAAATAGCTAGCTTCTAAGCTAGGTTTGAGGAGGAGGGATGGAAGATGATGAATTCATTTATGGGTGTGTGCTTAGGCACCTTCTATCAGCCATGTAGAGATATCAGGCCTGCAGTTAGAAGGGCCAAGCTCCATAGAACTTTCAAATTTCAGATAAAGGAAGAAAGTAGGCAGGAGTTACATTTGGATTTGAGGATAACTAAAGAACAAAAGTATTTCAGGAGAGGTGATACTTCCTGCCTCATCAGTTTATAGGTTTGCCTTCTTGCTGTCTTGCTCAGAATTCCATTTGACAAACAGTGAAGTCCTCCCTAAAAGTTTACTGAAGGTATCCAGTAACAATCAGAATGAATGAAGTTTGCTATGAGGGAAAAGATAGAGATGGAATGGTAGTGTAAGGGAGGAGATAGGGGTGACAGGGCTTGTGAAGGATATAAAGGAAATTAAAGCATCTTTACAGGATAATATGAAAGCTGTTATGTGTTGAGATCGAGAAAGATTGAGCGAAAGAATAATCCAGAAAGTTCTAATATTAAAAGCACAAGTGGTTGAATTAGGTCTGAAAAAATGAGGAAGTTTCCCAAGATGGAGAATTCGTATATTTTAAAAGAATAACATGTGAAAATATAGTGTTATTTTTTTCCTTGAGGATTTTTTAAATTGCAAAAGCAGTACATGTTTATAGAAGTTCAAACAATATAAAAGTGTGTAAAGCAAAATATATCTGCTTACCCCTCCTATAACCCCTTTTAATAGTTTGGTTTGTGTCCTTCCTCGTGTTTAACAACAGGAGTGCCATTGGCATTTTGAGTGAGGTGGTTCATTGTTTAGCACTGCTGTCAGTTTGTTGATGAACTTTTAGCACCCTGCCCCCTCCCCAACGAGTTATTGTGACAACCAGGACTATCCTCTAGGTTATGGTATTATCGCCCGCTTGAACTCACAGAGTTCTTATTCAATACAAATACAACTTCACATACAATTATTTTTTAAAAACAAAAATAGAGCAATACTCTACATTTGGCTATGCAACATTACTTTTTTTCCTTATCAGTTTTTATTAGGATATGCAAATTTACATTATTTCTTCTATGCTTCATTGTTTTCTATAGAGTGGATATGTCATTATTTAACTTTTATTGAAGAACATTTAGATTGTTTCTGGGTTTTCACTCTTGTAAATAACAGTGCAGTGAACGACTTAATTTTGAGTACCAAGTTTGATCAGATATTTCTGTGGGAGCAATTGCTAGAGGTAGAATTGCTGGGACAAGGAAAATATTTATTTAATATGTTGAGGTATAATTTTCATGGTTACTTTAAAATCTATACTTCAAAATTAAAATATATGGCTTAGTATAATACTTATGACAAAAATCACTTAAAAATTTTTAAAAAATGTCTAGATAACCTGTACCTTTATTGCTGTAATTGGAAATTATATAGAGAGAATAGTATAGTAAATGGTCCAATACCACATTTTGAAAACTCCGTTTATCTCCTGTTTTCTAGGTTACTTTGCCTAATTGATTACTATGAATCTAAAATTAGAAAATTTCAAAAACTAAGGTAAGACTAATCCTCTATTACAGTTTTTGAAGTTAGTCATGAATCACACCAAATTTATAGTCTTTGAAACTTTAAATATGCTTTGGAAATCTACCTAATATGTAACTATGAATTTCTTTTTCTTTTATAAAGATCTTAAAGTTTGTGTTTTACTTTTTATGTTAAAATGTACTGTTGCATTTATTTTAAAATATTTATGTTTAATAATCAAAAAAATATTTGTCAAAGAAGAAATAATATTTATTTTAGTTTGTTGAAGCATTATAATTTGTTCTACTGATGTCATCTAGCTACTGGATAGTTACTGAGTGTATCCACAGAGTGCATAGGATTAGACTGTCTACAAAAGTGCAACATAATTAGTATGCAGATTTATATGAAATAAAAAAATGTCATTGTGAAAAATCAAACATATAGAGTAAAACACACTTGTCATTTCTGATAAAAAAATTAAAAGTAAAGGTAAAGATAATAGTCTTTGACTAACCTAAAATAACTGAGGGATATCTAAAGCCAAATAATCTAAAGTATTTAATCTAAAGGTCATTAAAACAGCTGTTTTGTCTCCTTGTTTATAGATGGAATAATTCTTTTAACAGTTATTTATTTGAGCACCTACCTTGTGCTATGTTTTTTTAGGTACTTAGGAAACCATAATAAACAATGCAGATGGGATCCCTGGGTGGCGCAGCGGTTTGGCTCCTGCCTTTGGCCCAGGGCGCGATCCTGGAGACCCGGGATCGAATCCCACGTCAAGGCTCCCGGTGCATGGAGCCTGCTTCTCCCTCTGCCTGTGTCTCTGCCTCCCTCTCTCTCTCTCTCTCTCTCTCTCTCTCTGTATGACTATCATAAATTTAAAAAAAAATTAACAATGCAGATAAATTCTCCACTTTTGTCAGGTGTACATCTTGTATTCTTGACCCAAGAATAATGACTTTCCAGAAACACAGCAGGACCAGTGGCAGAGCTGTGCTGGTTGCTGATTCCTCCTAGCACCTTGAGGACTCTAAAATGACAACAACAACAAAAAAACAAAACAAAAAACCCCACCAACAAAAAAGCCAGAATAGAAGGGAGAAAGAAGTGAAAAAAGGAGGAGAAAAAGACAAGAGAACAACTAATGATAGAGCAATTCCTTGTTTCATTCTACTCAGAAAGTAGCATTATATCAAGTAACTTCAGAGACCTCCTGATTTCCAAGTGAAACTCTTTTTTTTTTAAGATTTTATTTATTTATTCATTCATGAGAGACAGAGAGAGAGAGAGAGAGAGAGAGAGAGAGAGAGAGAGGCAGAGACATAGGCAGAGGGAGAAGGAGGCTTCATGCAGGGAGCCTGATGTGGGACTTGATCCTGGGACTCCAGGGTCACGCCCTGAGCTAAAGGCAGACGCTCAACCACTGAGCCACCCAGGAATCCCAAAACTCTGTCTTTTAAATAATAGGCATGCTGTGAGATTCTACAGAGATGAGACAAAGATTTGGATATAGTTCTTACCTTCTAACTAAGATTCTACAATCTAGTAAAGGAGTAAAATGTAAACACATTAATAATTAAGAAAAGTAATAGATTAAAAAACAATATCATTATAGAGTAATTATTAAAAGTTGTACAGACAGTAATATAGGAGTTTAGAACAAGAACAAAATAGTTTTGGATGGAGTGACCAGGGAAGCCTTTACAAAACAGATGAGGGTTGTGCTTCAGCTTGAAGGATAAGTAAAATTTGGGAAAGTAAAAAGGCAAAAAAGGTAGTCATTTTAGACTGCTTGATGCTATGAGCAGAAGTGCATAGATTAAAAGCGTAGACTTTTTTATGGCACTGTGATTTAACCAATTTGTCTGGAGTTCAAAGGATTTGTTGGTATGTTCATAGATGTAGTAACCTATAAAGAACATTCTTTAACAAACTGGTCTAGTAAGCTGTAAATGAATGAGAAGGCTTCATTTGCCTTGGAAAGAAGGAAGGCACTTTTTCCTTTAATACAGAAAAACTGGGTAATGAAGTTATAGATGTGTAGATTAGTCAGAGTTCTCAAGAGAAAGAGACCAATAGGATGTATTTTTATATAGAAAAAATATAAAAAAATTATTTTAAAGGAATTAGTTCATGTGATTGTGAGGCAGGCCTGTAGACTTGAGACCCAAGGATGAGTTCCTTCTTGAGAGTCTCAGTCTTTGTTCTTAAGGCCTTTAATTGCATGAGGCCTACCCACATTATGAAAAGTTCTCCTTTACCTAAAGTTGATTTAAATATTGTTGATTTAAATATTAATCACATCTAAAAAAAATATCTTATAGCAGTATCTAGACTGTTGTTTGACCAAACAGCTGGACACCAGAGCCTAGCCAACTTGACCATGAAATGGACAGTCATAGTATGTAAGAGTAAAGAGAAGGAAAATTAAGAATTTAATGGCTTGAGAGTTTGCCAACTAAACTTACACAATCAAGAAAATAATGAAAATGATGAAGGAGGTGAGAACTGTGGCAAAATGGACAGCTGTATACCATCTGTATTAATGGAGCCATTCCTACACTCTAGCCAGGTGATACCTTGTAAGAATGTGAGCTCAGTGTAGCTAGATTTACGGGGTTTTCCGAGATTTATAGATAAGATTTTTAATATTCACAATTAACTTGGTGATTTAAAAAATATTATATGGTCCACAGAGAACAAACTGATGGTTGCCATAGGGAAGGGGTATGGGGAGTGGCCAGAATGGATGAAGGAGAGAGGGAGATAGAGGCTACCAGTTATGGAATGAATAAGTCATGTAAATAATTGGAAAGCATAGGGAATATAGTCAATGACATTGTAATGGTGTATAGTAACAGATGGTAGCTACACTTGTGAGCATACAGAATGTACAGAGAAGTTGAATCACTATGTTGTACACCTGAAACTAATGTAACGTATGTCAGCTGTACTCATAAAACATTTAAAAAGAAAAACAATGGTTCAAACTAAATATCAGTTGCAAACTTTGGGCTATGTCTTTAGTAAATTCTAATCTAGATTTAGGTGTTTGCAAACTTTTCTGTAATGGGCCAGACAGTAAATATCATAGGCATTTTAGGCTGTATAGTCTCACAACTAACTTTTCAACTCTGCTCTTGTAGCACAAAGCCTGCCATAGATGATATGTAAGTGAATTGACATGGCTATGTTCTGTAAAACTCTAACTACAAAAATCCATGGCCTGCAGGTAGCCTGCAGGCAGCAGCTTGCTAATTACTGACTTGCTAGATGATAGAGTTTGGGATTTTTAGTAAGAGTAGAGAAGATTCGGACACCTGGGTGGCTCAGCGGTTGAGCATCTATCTGCCTTTGGCTCAGATCATGATCCTGGGGTCCAGAGATCAAGTCCCGCATCAGGCTCCTTACAGGGAGCCTGTTTCTCCCTCTGCCTGTGTCTCTTGTCTCTCTCTGTGTCTCTCATGAATAAATAAATAAAATCTTAAAAAAAAAAAAAGCATAGCCATCATTTGAGATATGTCATGTGGAATATACTATGAGGAGTTAAGTTGCCTCTGAAGTTGGGCAAACTGGGGTTCTCTGACTAGAAATCATAAAAGAATTGAGTCCATTTTGAGGAGGAGTGTTGAATTTGGTTGTCATGAATTTTCTGTAAAAATCCGGGGTTGAGGAATGAGAAAATAGGGGGTAAGGCATTCCCTTTTCACTTAGCAATCCTGTCATTACTGGCCTAGCTGAAGTCAGATATTTTGGCTTATAAAATCCTTGGTCAGGCCAGATATTTGGATTGAATGTCTCTCATCAATGGAGAAGGAGATAGGAAGAAAATAGGAACTACATTATATATAATCCTCTTACAGATGAAAAAATTAGAAGTCATTTAAACTTTGCAGCAATGAAGAGTTTCCAAAGGAGAGGGTTTTTCAGGGTTCATTGACTTTATAGTTTCTAGTAGTCTCCTTTCTAAGAATGAGTATGAATTTAATAGTGAGATTATAGCAACTTCAAGGTAGATTTTTGAAATCTATAAATAGGCTATTATTATCACTTGAAGGAGCAGGAGTACTGTAAAAGGAGGGTATAATTGGTAAGTATTACATTTCTAAAGAAAAGATTAAAGAATTGAGAGATAAAAGAGGAGTGAAAATGAGAGAAGATAATCTACAGTTTGGAGGCTTAGGTAGAATGACCAGGAAGCACAGGAAAAGGAGGTATGTACCTGTAGAGCTAGGGGAGCAAGACCAAGGGAAGAAGACAGATGGGATAGGGCCTGTTACAGAGAGAGACAAAGCCCCTACTTAACACCTATTTAAAAAAAATTATTTATTTATTCATGAGAAACAGAGAGAGAGAGAGAGGCAGAGAGGCAGAGACACAGGCAGAGGGAGAAGCAGGCTTCCATGCAGGGAGCCTGACGTGGAACTCGATCCTGGGTCTCCAGGATCACACCATGGGCTGAAGCCAGCGCTAAACCACTGAGTCACCGGGGCTGCCCATTAACACCTATTTTTTAAGGGTAGTGTTATCCAAAGTTTTTCTCATTATGAAATAAATATTGATGTTTATATATCACACTGGAGTACACACAAAACTGTAATTGAAATCACCTGACTCAATAACTCTTGACTACTCTAAGCCCTACCCAGTTGCCCTGAGGCCTAAGGGCATGACTAGCTTGCTATTTTATCTATAACCGTTTTGCCTAGGACACCTGTGGTACACTATTTGGAGCCTCTAATTTAGGGCACAGGTTTGGGAAGACTTCAGAGGGACTTGTGAAGGGCGTTTCTGAATACTATGGACTAATATTACTTTGTCTCCATACATGAGCAAACATGGAAAGGAAGCAGCAATCAAGGCAGTAGAAATGTGAATACAGGAGTTAACAAACTGAAAATCTTAGAAAACTGTAAATATGCTATTATCTCTAAAAAAGAGGAAAAGTACATTTTAAAATGATAGGCTTTCAGCTATGTAACTTAACCTTTTCCCCCCACTGTTACTACATCAATAGATTACATGAAATATATTGCTAATTATTTCTGTTAGTATCTCCCTGACTTAGTGGATATGATTGCAGAGCCAAGGAAAGTAACATAAGAATTAAACCTACCAGGCTCAGATTTTCTTGTGAGATGTCAGAGACATTTGAAAAATTACCCAGGGAAAATAATTCTATAGTGAATTTGTAGTTAAGTGAAACTCCCGTGTTTAATTCCATCTTTCTCTTTAGATAGAAATTTTAAAAATGGTCTTGGATAATGGAAACAGGTAACTTTTGAAATTCACTTCTGATTTCCTTAACATGAGTGCTTTAATGTGTTTTATTTATTTTTAACACCAAAACTGTGAGGTAGATGTGATAGATACTTCCGTGACAGAAGACAAACTGAGAGATTGACTTATTTGAATAGCATCATGTTAATGGTGTCACAATTTGAATTGGGACTGTTAAATCTATTGCCTTGTCCACTCAGACTCTATTTTTTTCATATAGGTTTTTTGGTGACCTAAAAGTACTAGAAAGGAAAAACAGTATGCTTTATTTATTCATTCAGAAAGTTTTTTTTTCCATCTTCATTATGCCCTATACTCTTCTAGGCAGTGAGATGCAATGGTGAACAAAATAAAATTCTGGTCTACATGGATCTTATGTTCTAATTAAGGTGGTAGTGAACAAATATGTACTGTAATATTGGGTAGTTGTATCTTCTAATACCATTCTCTCTGAGAACAAATAGGAAATTTGGCTTAAATTTTAATTCATGTTTAGGTTCTCAAACACTTCAGGGTTGACTTTTGTTAGCTATATTTTTTCCTTTGAAGATAGATTTTTCATAAGAAGTACACATTGTGTATCTTTTCATAGGCAATATAAAGAAGATGAAAGTCAGTCAGAAGAAGAAAAAGACTATAGAAGTTTGGATGCCTCACCGACTTATAAAGGCCTTCTAATGGTATGGGGACTACATGGCTAATAATTACGTTTTTATAAAGTAAAATAATAATCTAGGAAAATTAACTATTTTTCTATGAAATGTGTTGAAGTCATTACAGAATCAACTCAAGGAATCGCAATGCAAAATTGATGCACTTTTAAGTGAGAAGCTGAATCTCCAAAAAGATTTGGAAACCAGGTGAGAGAAACTTGACTCATTTTTATTTAGTTTTTGGAAAGTAAATACATATTGGAATTTGGGATGTTAAATGAATCTTTCTAGCTCCTTTACTGTAAAACTAATCTTGGAAACTTCATATTTTTTTTACACTCATTTTAGTTAGTTGTATCTCATATGATGGAAGGAACAAGAACACATGTAGGTAGGAAAGGGAAGTGAGAAAAAAGGAGCCCACATTGAAAGAGATAAAGCTGGGTAGGAGCACAGAATATATTCAGATTTATATCAGCAGGTTTCCCATTCCCAGATTTCTTTAGAATGTTTTCTATCTTAGTTCCTGTGTTGTGAGAGAAGAAAACTAAAAAGTTTAAATGGCATACAAGGTATATTTATACATAGCATGCCACCACAAAAGGATGATGCTCTGTGTCTTGTCAGGGAATAATAAAGAATGAACATTGTTAAGATTTTTTTCATTTAAGAAGTGTTTGTTGAATACCTCTTATAAGTTAGACACTGTCCTAAGCTGTGGTGTAATATAATGACCAAAATAATAACTTGCTTCATAAATCTTATATTTTAATGGAGAGGGAATTAATAACTAAAGTAGAAACCATTTATATAAAGTTTAAAAAAACCTACCACATGATGATATGTAAATTTATGGTTATATAAATATGTAGTAAAAATTTTTAAACATGCATGAGAATAATGAATAGTGACTTTGGGATAGTGGTTACCTAATGAGGGACACACATGGAGTTTTAAGTATACGTATAATGTTTTAGTTGAAAAAAAATTGAAACAAATCTGTTAATATTTAACTTTGGTGAGGCTGAGTAGTGGGTACACCATTATTTATCTTACTGTTCTCTCTTCTTGTCTGTACATTTGAAATATTTCTCCATAAAAGCAAATAATAGATTAACAACAAGAAAAATGAGTAAAAAGTTCTGAACTGAGAATACATGGAAGGAGACATTCAGTGGCCAATAAACACCTCACTGACAGTCATGAAATATTTTACGTTTTTTAATAAGCATATTTGTGACAAGTAACATGGCATACCTTATTTATTAAATATCTTTATAGTTTTACTCAATAAAATGCAATTCAATTCAATGTGATTTATTTTCTGCAGGCCCACACAGCATGAATTAAGACTTTATAAACAACAGGTGAAGAAACTGGAGAAAGCCCTTAAGAAAAACATCAAGTAATTCTATTTTACCAAAGTTACAGATTTGTTATGGTTTTATATTTTTATTTTTATTACTTACTTTATTATTTAAATTTACTTTATACTTACCTCATGGTGGCTTTGGCTTGAAATTACCAGACTGATGATGGGGGGAAATGTCATAAAAGGGTATTTTTGGTTCCACAGTTTGTTTTTTTTTAAAGATTTTATTTATTTATTCATGAGAAACACAGATAGAATGAGAGGGAGAGGCAGAGACACAGGCAGAGGGAGAAGCAGGCTCCACGCAGGGTGCCCAATGTGGGACTCAATCCCGGAACTCCAGGATCACGCCCCGGGCCAAAGGCAGGCACTAAACCACTGAGCCACCCAGGGATCCCTGATTCCACAGTTTTAATACAGTTTCTACTGTGTTGGATTTGGCTATGTATTTATCTTAAGAACAAAAGACAGCATTTGCCTGATACAATAAGAGCAAATATTGTAACTAGAAAATTGTCTTTGGAAGCCATAGTGGAATTGTAAGTGAATCATTGAAATTATACATGATGAGCTCTCAATTTTTGTTGGTGCTAGTCATGGCCTGAATAATACACAGCCTCATCACACTTTAAAAGTACTTAGAATGAATGCAGTGAGCCATTCACATCCATCACTTACTTGTACTTTTCTTAACTTTGAAAAGCACAGTCTCAGAGGAGTTTGAAAAGTTAGTCCTGAATAGTAGTAGGATTTTTTGAAGATAATGTAGGTGTACTTTTTCATTCAAGGGAATGGGACTTGAGGAGGTAGTGTGGGGAGCATTGGGAGGAAATATTTTGAAAACTATATGAGTTAATATATGCATTAGATGTATTAAATCAGTTGTATTAGCATAAGTTGATTCAGTTTTCAGTGAAAACCGTGTTTCTTCCTTCCTGTGGCAACACATGCCATAGTGAAGGCAAATATTCTGGAGATCCAAGGATTAACGTACTGAGTTAATTAAGATAGTACAGAAGAAAAACTAAAAAAGAAAAGAGAAATGGAAGTTTCAGAAAGGCTGCATTCTTTAGCTCACTTAATATTTTCCCCTTCCTACTATTCCTTAGTATTTTTGGTACCTTTAGTACTTCTGCTATGTGCTTGGCATTCTAGGTACTGGAATTGCAGTAATAAGCCAAATAGAAAGGATCCTTGCCCTCATGGAGATTACATGAGGGGATAAGGACAATGAAAAAAAAGAAAACCATTTTGATGTAATATAATTACTAAATGTAAAATAGTCTGTTGTGTGAATTTGGACAAGAGGTGGTGGTGACATGGTCATGGGGCAATAACAGCAGAGGTGAGAGTGTTTGGAATATTGGAAGGTAGAACTGTTAGGACTGGGTGATGGATTGGATATAGGCATCTCTTGGGGGGGGGATCAAGACTCCTTTAAGTTTCAGGCCTAAATAACTATATAGTTATTGGTGTCTCAATAAGATAGGAAAATTGGTTGAGAAGCAACTGGAAAAAGGATGATGGAGGGAGGTAAAAAGAGGAGAAGGTGTAGATAGATTACATTTGATTATATGTAAGTCTTCATAAGGAAATGAAGGTCTGAAGAAATAGTTAAGCCTGAGCTGCCTAATACTAGGTTTAATGAAGAATGGAAAGTTGTAGAAAAACATGATAGGACCAAAGGGCATTAGCTAAGTATACTGGGGGAAATTTAGATTCTTTCTTGAAGTCCCTCTGTCTTCAGAGATGAAGATGCTCCTTTCCTCTGGGTATACAAGGGCACCTATTACATGAAGGTCTTATGATCTGCTTCAGGAGAGGAGGAGGAGGTCAGAGAGCCTTTCCTGCATATGCCATGTCTCAAATTTCTTTGGCTCAAGACATTCCTTATGTCAAATGGCATATTTTAGAGTCACATATCCTTATCCCCTTCAAAGGAATTTTACTCCTTTCAAGGTAAGTATATTAGTGAAGACACACACACACACACACACATAGAGATAGGTGGTTGGTCTTCATTATTCACAGGTTTCATATCTGTGAATTTGCCTACCTGCTGAAATTTATTTTTAATCCTCAAATCAGTAGTTGTAGCACTTTCGTGATTATGAGAGGACATGCCCAACATACACATTTCCAGCTGTTGAACAAGATGATGCTCTTTTTGTTGTCAAAGTGCCACTTTTTTTTTCTTTGTTTTTTTTTGCATTTTTGTACCTTTTGTTGGTGATTTCTCCAAGATGGCCACTAAGCATAGTGTTGAAGTGCTGTCTAGTGTCCCTCCTGAATGGGAAGAGGGCTGTGATGTGGCTTACAGAGAAAATACATGTGCTAGGTAAACTTCATTTAGGCATGAGTTATAGCGCTGTTAGCTATGAGTTCAGTGTTAGCAATATCAAATAAGGTGTTTTTAAACATTGACACACATAAAACAAGCTTATATATTGATCATTTGAGAGAAATGTTATTAGATGCATGCAGGTACCTGACTCTATTAACCCCAGGAGCAATGGCTCAATCTTTTCTAATTCAATGTTTATGGTGACTAACAGAACTACCATGATTAACAAGAATTGACTGTATAGGTCTTTGTTGTTGTTTATTTGGAACTGTTGTCTTTATTTTTATTTTTAAAAGATTTTATTTTTTTATTAGAGACAGAGAACATAGAGCATGAGCATAGAGAGGGACAGAGGGAGAGAGAGAAGCAGATTCCCTGCTGAGCAGGAGCCCAATAATGTGGGGCTGAGATCATGACCTGAGCTGAAGGCTCAGGTGCTCCTGGGCTATTGTCTTTAGATTGACTTTTTCACAATTAGCCTTTAAAATTATGATTCAGAACCAATCCCTGCTGTATTTTTTGTTGAATTTTAAAGAACACAATTTGCTTTAGAAATTTAAATTTGGAATTTTAAAAAATTATTAATTTTTTTTTTTTTTACGTCTGGATTGGTTTAGATTCTTTTATTTTTTTTTTTATTTTTTATTTTTTTTAAATTTTCATTTACCCATGATAGTCACACAGAGAGAGAGAGAGGCAGAGACACAGGCAGAGGGAGAAGCAGGCTCCATGCACCGGGAGCCCGACGCGGGATTCGATCCCGGGTCTCCAGGATCGCGCCCTGGGCCAAAGGCAGGCACCAAACCACTGCGCCACCCAGGGATCCCTGGTTTAGATTCTTTTAGAATCTGGATGTGGAAATAGGGAATTAGGAATGTTAGATAACTTGCCTACATCACACAGATGGCATGTGGAAGAACTTGGAAAGAATTCAGATCTGTACCCAGTCATTCTGACTCCAAAGCTCAAACTCTTAACCATTATACTAATTAGAACCAATAAAACACCTGGTGAAAAACATTTTTTTTAAGGTAAAACTCTTCAAATTTTTATTTTTTGCAATGGCAGAGGTAGAATATTTTTTTAAAGAACTACAAATATTGGGCAAATAATTTAAAATAAAATATTCTGTCAGCCCAGTAAATCCTCTTCACATATAGACAAAATAGGGGAACAGTTTTTTACTGAATAAACAACCGACTGAGATATACAGTATAGGCAGTCTGCTAAGGAGATTACAAAGCCAGAAAGAAATCTCATTCTTTTATATAGCTACACATGCACAATCCATTACATATATTGTATGTGAATTATCTTTACCCTAAGGAAAAAAAGAACTTTGTGTGTTTTTTTATAATAAGCCGGAAGTTACAACCTAGAGAGCCAGGAGCCTAGACTAAACTACAACAGAGACAGGGAGACAAGGTACCATCCTCCCTGATACCTACATTTCAAAGATGTGGTTCTGAGGCTTCCAAGAAAGAAAGATATTCCTAGGATGTAAACTTGGCAAGAGGTTTATTTAAATCTTAAAAAAAGATTTATATACACTCCCAAAGATTCAGCCCAATGTTCTTAGCAACAGTGTCCACAGTAGTCGAACTGGAAGGAGCCATGATGTCCATTGACAGATGAATGGATAAAGAAGATGTGATATATATATATATTATATAAACACACACAATAGAATATTACTCAGCCACCAGAAAGGATGAATACCTACTATTTGCTTCAACGTAGATAGAACTGGAGGGTATAATGCTGAGTGAAATAAGTCAACTGGAGAAAGACAATTGTCATACAGTTTCACTCATATGTGGGACATAAGTAATAGTGAAAGGGACTATATGTGAAAAGAGGGAAACTGAGTGGGGAAAATTAGAGAGGGAGACAAATATGAGCGACTCCTAACTCTGGGAAACAAAGAGTTGCAGAAGGTAAGGTCGGTGAGGGGATGGGTGACTGGGTGACAGGCACTGAGGAGGGTACTTGATGGGATGAGCACTGGGTATTATACTATATGTTGGCAAATTGAATTTAAGTTAAAAAAAAATTAGCACACACACAAAAAAGACTGACATACTTCTTAAAGAGACAGAGAAAGAATTTAACAATTACAAGTTTTCCAAAGGAAATGCTACAAGAAAAGGAGGGGAAAGGCTGTCTCTTCCTTTTAGGATCTGAGAGAATTCAATTTTTTTCTTTAGATTTGTTGCCTTTCAACCACCTTCAATATCAAACGAGTCTACTTGACATGGGAAAAAAAATGGATTTTTCTTGAGTTACTATTACAACAGGTTGATTATAAAATTTGGTTATTAGAAGGTGATCAAATAGGTTTGCCAGTACAAGATTAACGAAAGGTGCTACACTAATTTCATTTAATTTCAATGGTATTTATATTTTCCCTAGGAGAAAACAAAATTAGAATCCTGTCACTTTAGTGTTGAGTTGATGGATGTAGAGGTGGCCAGGACAGTGAACCAAACTGAAATGAACAATCAAGGCTTCATTCATTTACCACTATAGTGTAAGCAGCCAAAAAGTATTCCTATTTTTCTCTATGAAATGGCACCAGGCAAGAGTCAGTAAATGGCATGCTGCACTGATAGGAGGAAACATATCACTGCCTAGGAGCCCTGGACAGATTTTTGCCCAGGGGGAGCTCTGTGAGTAGAAAATACGAAGT